CCGCAATCACAGTGTTTAAGTAAATAACTCGATTTAATTAATTAGGTAAGGCAAGAGGTCATATAAAGGAGCAATTCAAATTTAATATTTTTATTTAAATTATTCAAATATTTTAAATTATGACTTGAGATATCTGGGTATTTGATATAATGATTTATGCCATCTTCTTTTCTGTCAATATATTAAAAAAAAGAGTTGGGTAATTATTCAATAATTTATACCGATTAAGTACAAAATCTTGGAATTTCATATAGGAAATGTGTAGCATATGTAAGAAGAAATCATCAATTGGGAAGTCAAAGGAAAGTTTTAAAGTCAGTAATATGTTCAACGCATATGCTAACCAGATTAATTGGCTTTTTTAAATTTGGACCGTGTAAGTTGCGGGGTATTGACTATGCATGAGTCTCATGGTTTCTAGACCGGCAACTACAGAGAATTTTTTTGTTTATTTTTTTATATTAATTCTCTCCTTTCTCATACCTATGATATTAGGGAGAATACGATTTAAATTACATGTTATTTGAGCATAAAATTACTTAAAAATTAAATTGAATATATGCTAGTTCACCTTTCTTTTCTGGGTGTGAGAAATTTAGGTTAAATAGATTATTTAATTATTTAATCGTTCAAATGAAGATGAGACTAGTCTTATCTCGGTTTGCAAGTTTGATAATTACATTTCATATGAGATATAAATGTGATTGTTAAGATATCTATAAGTATATAAATTAATTATTACTAGTAATTTGAATTTAAACTTTTGAGAGTTACACGATTTAAATTCAAAAAATTATTAAGTCAATAATACTTAGACCCGGATGATTACAATAAAGATTATGAATTTTAAATTAACACCATTCCAAAACCATTGTTTATTGAAATTGATAAATTTACTGAATAAATCAATCTCTCGATGGTATTATTCACGTTTTACACTTTTTTAATTATTCATTCAATCTATCATCAAATAGAGCTTCTGAGTTATGTCTTGTATTATAAAATAAAATCCTATCTAAAGGATTTGCACCTAGGAATGTAAAAGGAATATGTGGAAAACAACCAATACCTTAAGTAAATTTTCTAGGAAAATTGAAATTTCATAGCAGGTGATGTGAGGATAGAAACTTACATAATTTCTCAAATGCAATTTGTTGCTTCTAGATTACCCAACCTTTCTTGGAAAAATATATTAACAATAGTCATGGATAATGTCATATTAAAATGACTTATTGAAGTGGCTAGAAACACTGCATTAATATAAAATTCAGACAAATTTTTTTCCCACCAGAGGGCATCGTTCTAGAAAATACACCTTAGGGGGTTTAATTCAAAAATCTCAATGCCGTGTAACTTCAGTTCAATACCTACTTCATAAGTCTTTATCCTTGCTTGCTAACCATGGAAGTCATGATTTACTCCCTCAATATTATCTTCTCATTCTCGAGATTTTTCAAGGTGTAAAGTGAGATACGTGTCTACATTTAACACGACATACGTATACATTTAATAATCGAGTGAGTTTAATTTTAAACCGTGCTCACGTATATACTTAAAAATTTCATGGTTGATCGCCCTTCAAGTGAGCTTGACATTTCTATATGACAGTCAACATCCTTTACTAATTGTACGAACAAAATTTCTCGGTTCTTGTTAAGGGAAAGCTGAAGGTGACTACTCGTATTGTTTTCACTGGTAAGCTTACTTTGCTCATAAGATAAACATAAAAATGAAATGATCAATAGTCATTGACTTTATTGGCAACTTTAATTAAAAACAAGTTGATTAATAAGCTTGCAAGGTTGAATCATTTTCACTATCACCATCATAATTAATTTACAATTTCTCATAGAGTTATTAGGGCACATTAAGCAAACCCTAATTCACTCAACATCATTTCTATGTACAAATCCTTTCTCCTACCAAGTTGTTTGTTTCTCGGGAAAAAGAAAAAAACCCTTTATGAGGTTAAAGAGGTATCTTAATTTCAATAAAAAAAACTTCATTGAAATTGAATTTTCTTATAACAATGGGTCAAGAATGGTATTCTTCTTCTAGAATAGAGATTTTCCTTTCTATGCGTAATAGTAAAAATCTAGAGCAAGCAAGAATTGTTTTTGATCTTACTGGGAATATTGGAAAAGAATGTTCAAAGGTTAAAATTCTGATTTCTATAAGAATGTGAAAAGGAAGGGTATGGTGAGAAGAAATATTTGCTGAATGGTCTGTACACGCATAAGATTCTAAGGGTTTTAATTTGTGGGTTGAAATACTCCTCGTAGTAGACCAAATGTGCCAGCTTCATTTGGATACATTCTCTTCCATATGCAGCCACCAAAGAAATATACAAAAATCTTGTTTCACATTTAATTAATCTAGAAATTTAAATGTGTTTGCTGATCAGATTGGTGCCTTGAAAAAGAAATATTGTGAAGGAAATATGACTTGATGAAATATTTCTACCCTTTTATTTTAAATGTGTCTAGGAAGAATTTAGAACACTAAAAAAAAAAAAACTTAGCTATTTTCGATGGAATGCTTTTTGTCAGAAATAATTTATCAAAAGTTCTCGACGAAAAGTCACATTAATCGTTATTGATGGAACTTTATCGAGTTTTTGGTAAAATTATTGTAATCGGAAAGTAGTAGGAAAATTTCTTTTTCCTCTTTATTTCTTTCAAAATGCTATCATGATGAGCTTGAATTATTCATATATAAGATTTAATTTTGTAGTGACTTATGAAGCTACGTGGACCATTTGACTGATTAAAAGGTAACATAATTTAATGTGAACATAGGAATCTCAAGTTCACAAGAAAAATACTACTTAGCTAACTAAACATCCCAATATGAACTTCATAATTTTAGGCAGAAAATCATATAAGATATTAATTACACGTGCACGTTTATCTTTTCCAAAAGGAAAACGTGTATACTTAAAAAAATAGTCCAAAAAATAAAAATTGTTTCTATATCTGACAAACTTAACAAAAAAAGTCAAAATCTGAAATAATATTTTCCAAAAAATTTTATGTCATTGTGTTCACCTATCTACAACAAAGAGTATATACAATAAAATGTATTTTTTTTTCAATATTTAGCATTTAAACATTGGATTTAATGATAAAATATCGTGACATTTCGAGCAATGAAACTTCCTATCGATGACAATGATAGTATAACCGATGTAGCAGCCACAATGGAAGTTGTAAACACGGTTGATTTCTTACTTGAGTAATTAGAGATGTTTGGCATCCGAACATTTGATTTAATAATAAATACATGATTTGAATTCTTACTTCTCTTAAAATTAAAAGAAAAAAAATAAAATAGTGACGTATGAGCAAAGAAACTATCTATAGATGGTAATGAAAGTGTAGCTGATGTAGCAGCCGCCGCCGTGGAACCTGTGAACACGGCTGATTTCTTGCCTGTATAATCCCATATATATCGTTGTCGATGACCCTGCAGAAGTTTTCTTTGAAATTTTGATATATACAAAGAGAAAACGTAAGCATGCAAAACTAAACTAGTGGGCAGTGTGGCAAGTTAGGTTAACAAATACGAAACCTTATACTCAGTACAATTGCTATTAATAAAAAGGAGAGTTTAATGGGAGAGGGAGACTTAAGTATAATTAAAGAAATGATAAACATGAAGAAGTCAAAGGAGAAGGTTTAAAGTCAGTAATGAGTTCAACATCAGTGGTAAACATGGACGGTGCTACTTGCAGTGTTCTTCATATTGGTGATGTATTGACTTTGATCATGACAGTTTTGATAGATTATTAGTTTCATAATTAATTGGTTTTTTCCCCATTGCAGTTGGTGATTTCATCACATACTTAAAACTATATGACCGGGTAATATTGACCCTTGAAGTTCGAACTTTGTGGGAGTCTGTAAATGTGCGTGCCCACAAGTCAAATTCTGGGTCCATTTTCTTGCCCCATTTGATAGGCAGTTTTAACCTACCAAGCCAGTATTAGGCTCAGCAGGCTAAAAAGGTGTGATAGGAGTTCAAGATGTGCCACGTTCATGAGACCAGAATCAACTTTTCTGCAAGCCAAGGGGGAGTTCTCAATGGAGAATAACAGGAAGATTTCAAAAGTTTGGAAAATCTAATCAATATTTTGATGTAATTCTTACCTAATACCCAATGTGTTCATAAAAGGCTAACTTACACATTGCTGCTTCCCTTCATCCTTCCGGTCTACTTGACTTTTTCCACTGGTTATGAACAACCAATCAACACCCTTTTTTCCCTTCTTTTCTATGGTTTCATGCGGGATTTAATAGTTTCTAATGGCCCCAAAAGTTGGAGTGTCAAATATTGTGACCTAGTAAAGAGTTTAAGCAGACCATGACTGGATTCCATTGAATTGTAGCAAATTCAGCTGCACATTTCCAAGGACTAAATATACAAAAGTTATGTGAAAGTGTGGTTTTGGTTTCCCACGTCCAAGTTCATCTGGCACGTGCTCCACCCAAAACCAGTGAAGAAGAAAGTTCCAGAGTCAAAAAGTGGAGCAGAAAAAAGGGTTTCTTTGGAGTGTCCTGTAAGGAGTAGAACAGTTTGCTAATATGGCAGATTGTTTAGGCAACCGCCACATTGGATCATTGAATCTAGTACTACTTCTGTAGTCATAGCAATAACTTTTAACTCTATTCAACAGTAACGCCTGCTTTCTTCTGACCTGCAAATGCTTAATCATCTTTGACTCAATGGGGTATGACATTTGAAAAGAGCAAAGGGAGGGCTTTGGACGCTTTCCTAAATCTAGTGGCGTTTTAGGTTATTTAGGATAGAACTAGACAATGTTTTGTCAATCTAGATATTTAACACATCAGTATCCTTCATGCCGAAGGTTTTGGCAAAGAACAACATGATCGAATGTGAAGCTTTAGCCTGTTACTAGTTTTCCTTTGGATGTATCAAGATTTAGGCTGAAACTACGAAAGCTTTTAGACTAGACTTTATTTAACATAAGATGGCTTTTTCTTTTGTGACTGCTGCTGAATACGTAAGCTGCATGTTTAAGGTCCAAAAGCAATAGCTAAATAAGCCTTAATCTCGTCACCAAGGTATACCATCTTCCCTATCTGGTCATGGCGCATGCATTCCTCAGTACTCAAACTCTTCAGAATATGATGTTAAGCAGTAATAGAGATGAGGAAGTGATTTGGGTGGAACGAGGGCATCCTGAAAATTGCTCTGCTATGAAACAGGGAAAGAACATGTCATTTAGCTAGTTAAAAATGCAATAGTTTCTTGATTTCCAGATACTATTGGGTGCTGCCCCAACCGAAAACTGTGAAAGACATTCATTTTGAATAATTCATGTTAAATATGCACCAAGGAATTTCAGAGCAGCTTTCATTTTTAATCTCAACGATCACATCAGCTCAACAACGATAAACCCTGAGATAATCTCCACCAAACCAGTGATAATCTCCACCAAAAGATTGAAAATTACATATCAGTACAGAAGTAAGCAAAGACACTCATCTTGTAATCTAGAAGGAAAAGTAGACATCCATTCTGGCACTTATGTCACTGCTACAGCTTTAATTAGTAGCATGCAACCAATGCTCGAAACATATTTACATAAAGTGCCTAACCATTTTTTCTCTCTCTTTTAGGATTTGGCACTAGATTCTGACCTTACCACTTTCATTCATGCAACTCCTAAGCGCAGCTTTGTACTGGTTCCACAATATTCAGATGCACGTGGCATAGGAACTAAGAGGCCACCAGATCAGCAAAGATAACTAGATAAGAATGTCCACGGTTTTCATCATCCATTGTTCTTTAGATATCATTCATGACTTCACGTTTTTGTCAAGAAGAAAATCTGAACCAGTTGACAATACTTACCTAACTAGCTGCCAAGCATTGAATCAGAGATGCCTCATCTGCATGTTTAAACCAGTTCCAAAACTTATACCATCAATCAACATTCAACATCATTGTGATGTGAATAGCATTTGTCTATAACACATTATTAACACAAAATGGTACAAACACACCTGCAACCTACAATCCATTACACGTGCCAATTGATCTTATTTCAGATTATTGCACATATTCTTTACAAACAAATACACATGTTCCTATTCCAAGTTCTAACTGGAGAATCTTAATTACCTCATCATATAAACCTTAGCATCTAAAAATCCTACATTGCTCCCCTAATCACATAAACAAAGCAGCACTTACAAACATACCAATCAATTCATAGAAATCGGGCAAAATCATTTACGAAATTCAGATATTCAAATTTCACAGTACAAGTGGTATGACATGTAGAAAACGAAATTGCCAGTTTACATACAGATTTGAATATGCCCACCATACCAAATCTTCTTGAACTTCATATTCTCTCTACTTAAAAGAAAAAAAAAAACCCCATTTTGTTGATTCTTGATCAAAAGAAACAGGCTCAACTTTGGGACAAGTTTTCTTGTTCATCATCATTGAATTCGTTTAGTGTACCAAATTTTTGCTTGAAAGAGTCCTGCCTTTGCATCCACATCATATGCCCCTTCAAACAGCATAAGAAAAATTCAAAAAAGTTAAAACAAATATAGAAAAGAAAAACCCAAAACCCAGAAATTCAAATGCAATTAAGAAATTAAAAACCTATAAAAAGGGGCAACTTTGCATTAAAAGATGAATTTTTTTTTAAAAAAATTTACCTGGAGAGCAGCAGCCCAAGCAATGAGGAAAGAAGCAAACCAGAACTTCTTGTCTTTGAGGAGAGCTCTGGCATCAAAATTTGCCATGAAATTCTTATCCTAGATGCCCCTTTTACTGTCTTTTAAGGTTTTTGGATCAAAAAGATGAGATTTGGGGTTTTTCTTGGGGTTGGGCTCTTCTACGGTTTGTTTCGATGCCGTTTGATGCACTTGGCATCTGTTGCTGCCATGTCATCAATAGAATTTTCCTTACTTTTCTTTCTTTTTCCTTTTGCAGATGGAGGTGCTATTGCTAAACTCACTAAATTAAAAAAATTTAATTATAAATTTTGGGATTATGCTTGTAAATTGTGATAGGTGTTGATACTAGTAAAATATGGCATATGTGGGATTGGATTTTTTCTTTTAAATTTTGGAAAATAATTTTTTAAGCATATTTTTGTTTATTTTATATCATTTTTATGCTCCCCTAAGTAGCTGGGAGGAGAAGTTGTGTTGTCATTGTGACATGTTCTTATTACCTAAACTCAAAGCTCAAATCTTTCAATGATGCGCTTTTGCTGTGTCCTTATGAATATGATACCTAGGTAAACTCTTGTAGGAAACATTGCTTTGTTTAGACTTCTTTTGGTCACAACAGATTCAAAAGGGGAGAGGGAAACAAAGATGCTAAACAATCAAACAAGTTTAACACTCCTTATAATCATCCTGTATGCCACATGATGCAATTCAATTTCTGCTTCCATATATTCAGGATTGCTTGAAATAAGAACCCATGTCTGCTCATTTTGAAGAATATCAGATAATATAGACTACATGTTATACTGTCAAAACCGAAAAACAGATGAGCTGCTTGAATACTACTTTCCAGTTCGACTAACAGAGGTAAATGAACGGAAACTTATAATGCAGGACTCACTTCATTTGCCGTCAAGCTAGATAACTATGACGAGCATTACAAGTACCAGGGAGATTCAGTTTTTACATGTATAAGAATCAAAGATTACTGTGCCGGCCAGAGAGATAACTGAAGAATAGTTTTAAGGTGGCAATTTTCCTGTTAAGTAGAGAGACAGTTTATCTCTCATAATCAAGGCAGACTTGTCAAGAGATTCACAATTTTGTCGGCGATAACCAGTGTCATGATGATGGGACAAAGACATATCATCTAGCACCTCATCCTCCATATCGATAAGGATATTGTGCAACAAGCAGCAAACAAGAACGATTCTTGGCAACCTATTTTTATCAGGCATCCACATCACCCCATGTATTATTCTCCACATCTCCTTGAGCCTCGCCAGAGCCATCTGTGCTACCATTCTGGTTGCAGCATGCCGTTTATTAAACTCAACTTGAAGATCTGAGAGGCCTTTCCCTTGATAAGGAGTAAAAAGCCATGGCAGTAGGGGAAAACCTGCATCCCCTATTATATATTCTCTTATATCTGTTTCTTCTGAAATGTTTAGCTTCTTACCATTTAGCCTCTTTTCTTCTTCAGAAAGTCTGAAGAAACCTGAGCTCCTGAGGACAATGGCATCACTTAAACTTCCTGGCCACCCAGCAATCACATCACGAAATCTCATCTCTGGGTCCACAACCGCCTGCAAAATCATGCTATAGTTCTTCTCCCGGTCAAACCAGACATTATTTGATGGGTCCATGGTAGGCAGAGTCATGACAACATGTGTGATGTCAATTGCACCACAGCAATTAGGAAGGCCCCGGATTTTCTCAAACTTAGACTTTATTTGTTCAATCTCTGCTTCAGTTGAAGGCCAACTGAGATGATGAAGCCCTCTTTCCTCCATTGCTTCCACAAACCGCCAGGTTATCTGGGAAACAGTTGATTGATTCATCCCAAAAGTATCACCAATGATTGATAATGATTCACCAGAACTAAGCCTTCTAAGAGCAACAGCTACTTGATCATTTAGAGACAAAGGCTTGCCATTTAAATCAGTGAAGCTCGATTGCCTAGCCATCATATCTTCCTTCACTAGAGAACAGATGTAGTCGAATGTCTTTCTTGAAATTCTGAAAACCGATTCAAAACTTTTTGAATCCTTTGATTGAGATAAGGTACCTAAAAAGTGACATTTGAAAACAAGGTTATTTCCTTCATAAAAGAAAAAGAAAACTTTTCCTTTTGTAAAGTAGAAAATCCTATTTCATGGATCTAAATATTTATGTAAGATCATTAGCTTAAACCACTGAAAATCAATTACTAACTAGAGAGCAGCCTCAATATTTCTGTTTTAAAATCTGTTACTCAATCATCATAATGCTCACTGTTACACCTCAATCTCCTACCAATGTCATTGCGCTTGTAATCTCAAATCAAATGCCCTAAAAGAAAATTTTCAAAACAAGATCAAAGTGCAAGTACCTTTTTCATTTTCACCCTACGTGCTGAAACTAGTCAGATAATTCAGTATGTTCTTACCAATTTACAGGCAATATATCCTCAAGCTCTCTTTTCATTAACAACAGGGAGAACACAATAGTCATTCTGCTTAGCTGAACACATTAGTCATTAAGAGAATTTATGGCAACTAAATCATAGCACAACACATTTGCAGGCATTACATAAGTGCAAAAGTACCACTTATATGGAAATATGGATTTTGGAATTCATGGTCCAGCCCTGAGCACAATTTACATGATCAGGTAAGATCAAAGCGAGCAATGTTTGCTGAAAGATGTAGGAACCAGCTGTGATGGGCAAAAATCCTATTAAAGACTACCAAAGAGGATTCTTCATCCATGTTTTTTACGTTGTGGTTTCAGTTTGTGAAAGTGAAGGTAAGAAGAATGACATATCTTTAAAGGAAAAGAAAGGAGCCAACCCATTTTCTTCTAAAAATTATTTCTTCAAAAATCAAATTGAGAAGTCAAAATGATACTTTAACCTCAATTTCTCTGAATGGAGTGAAAATCTTTTGCACTAGTCCAAGAGAGAAAAAGAAACACCTCTATTTTATACAACTACCATCAGTGTCACTAAGGCATAAGCAATCAATACAAACAGTCATAGTTCCTTCAACAAAGAAATATCACATGGTAGATGTGACTTCAAAGAAGAGCAGACATAAGAATTGCTTCTAAAAACACAGAAAAACCATTCATTTCAGTAAAATTTGAGCAATTATCAGGTTAATCCAACTCTGAAAAGCCAAGCTACTCATGGCAAAACAATTTGTGCAACTCTCTAGCTGTCCCTGGCTTTTAAGCTCTGTGTAAGATAATGTTCTAAAGTAAATTGCTTGTCATTATGGCTTCTAAAGACCACTCTGTCTATGCTTCCGTAATTTCCCTAGTTTTATGATGCTCTCAATGTGCGTAAAGCCATTCCTTCTTCATAGAACACTTAATATACTACTTCGCACAAACAAAACCAAGTCTCAATAAAACTGACAAAATGTTTTGCAATAAGATAATGATTTGACCATGGGCTATTACTCATCTGATTGCAAGTCAATAAAGAGACAGTGTACACTCAAGCAACACCTATAACTTATGTCTGCAACTCCAAAAAAAAAAAAAGGTAATCAAGAAATGTCTCGAAATTCTTTCCACAGAAGGGAGTAAAACATAGCTTGGGAGACCCATTACTTAACCTTTTGAGAGGCACGTATCAAATTCAGGAAAATGTTAGGTTCAGACTTCAACTTTTACGTAGCCCAGAGAAAAAGAAAAGATTGAAACAGGATTCTATCCTGACAACTATGAAAACGTGGATCTGACTCATGTCCTGATGCCCTTGGAAAAAACAATGCCTTTCATGATCACCATTGATGAATAGAATCAACAAAAGCCTAATATTAATACTAAGTTAATAAGTAAAATTTACTAAGTGCATTATATCCAAATGATCTTAAAACATAAATCTACTCAATAAAGCTGTATTCTTAAACAATGTTCTGAATCTGGATCTTTATCAGAAACAGTTTAAAGCAAAAACCTAACAAATGCCTCTTGGAACACTGCATAGGACACACATCAAGGAAGCGGTATCAATATAAAGAATAACCAAATTCCCAGCAATGCTAAAAGCAAAAGACCAAATACATATAACTTCAAGCTCGCAACTTGCAAAGAATGTAGACCAGCAATGCTCTATCTCACACCACACCAGCCATATTATGTAAATTCAACCAAATTAACCGAAACCCAAATGGACCCAAGTTATGAAATTTCATTAAACATTAAGCAAATAGCCAATAACAGCCTTCATAAACACCATAACATAAACGTTCAAGCAACGGGAAACGCAATGTATAAAAACTGAAAATAACAAAATCAAATGCCTTCAAACATTGAGAACTGTAGAGAAAAAAGAATGTTACTATAATACCTGAAATCCTCTTGGAGAACTCATCCCACCAATCCAAAGGCTGAGGTTGAGACCCCAAAGAAGAAGCAACAGCGGCAGAAGAAGGCAAGACATTCTGGTCAACCACCTTCTTGTCTGCTGCTTTCTTTCTCCTCTTGAACCCTCTAATGGGTCCCATTGAAAGATACCCAACAAAGGAACACAACCCCTCTAGGTGAGTTAAGCACTTGAAAGAGCCTAACACCAAAGATCAAAAGGAATCTCAGGGAAGAGATTGAGTTTGGCCTTTTGATATTGGTTTGTTTTGGGTTTTTAACGCATGCAATGATAAGTGGCTGAATGAAGAGATGGTGAAGAACAAAAAAAAAAAAAACAAGGCTTCGAGAGGGGAAACGAAAACCAAAGACTATAGTCCTAGTACTATGTAGGCATTGGGCAAGTGATATAAGGTGATTCTTTTAGTTGTTAAAAGGTGAGGCAATGTAGAAGAAGAAAGAGTGGGACGAGTTTATGGCCCTTTTTTGGTCATGGTGAATTTCTTTCTTTGAATTTTCTTCGTTTTTCCTTGTACAATTTAAAAGTTTTGAGTAGTACTTATTTTTGTTAATTTTTATATAAATGGTATGCTACATGATGTATTAGTTTATTTTCCATAATCGATAATGATAAATAAGAAATTTTATCATAAAATATTCTATCATTAAGAGATTTTATGATTAAGTTCCCTAATACTATTAGGTTTTTTAGATTATTTTTTGTTTTTTAATGTTCTTATTTTTCTTATTATATGTTTATGATTATGGTCACTTTCTTTCTTCAAATTCCAATTTGATGAATAATATGAAATTTCCAACTTTCTATTATCTCAGTAAATGCTATCTTCAAGAAAACTTCATTTCTTTTAATTCCTACAAATGGTCCTTAGTATGCCAGATTTGAACATTAAAATGGTTTTTTGTTAATAAAGATTGCTGAGACAGTTGATTTGGCCACCTAGTAGGCAGCAGACATCAACCACAACCAGTGTGAACATCAACTATATGACCAGCTAAGATGGTTGGACCCGGGCTTGGCCCTACTTCATTAAGTGATACTGACCATCTGTGGCCTAGGCTCATTGGCTAAGCAACCCAAGTCCTGTATTTCTTGAAGCCCAAATGCTATTCTTTCTATCACATTGATATTGCTAGAATATAATTACACCCCAACATGATCAAGAACATAGTCACTGTCAGAATCTTAGCTCCGTTCTTAGGTTTTTATGTTTACTTCAAAGTTTAAGCTTAATATTGAAATACATATACTATGAGTACATATTTCCCCATCTTCATGGATCTGTCAAAGATTTTTTACCATGGCACCTTGGCATTTGACTATTTCCATGGTACATTGATCTTTTTGTATTTCTCCTCGTCCATGAAACAGCACGTTCATACCTTTATTTCCATTGCCTCCACAGTCCTTGGCTCTTCTTGATCCACAGGCAATCAACTGCATTAGGACTGCAGATGCCTTGATCCTCCCACTGGGGCGATCATTTTCAACACTTTGATCTCTAATATCTGCTGAGATGTTCAGACATTCCGGAGCTTCTGAACTTGAATATGAAGATGGTCGAGGAGCCTGCTGTCCATTCTCCCTTTGATGTTCTTCAGCTTCTTCACCCCCAACTCTTCTTTGCCTTGCATTCTCATCTGTCTGTGTTGACACATTGTTGCCTTTGCTGCTAAATTCTCTGCTTGTTCTGGCCTTGTAGATTTTGTGTTCATCAAGCTCTTTGAATTCACTCCATGAATGATGTTTCGTTCTAATTTTCGCAGGAACATTGGAATCTTCACCTGAACTGTATGTCGCAGAGGAATTTTTGGAGATTGATGAAGTTGAAGAAACTGTTTCGTAGGATCGAAAGCTTAGAGAAGTTTGTAAGAGTAGTGATCCCTTGAGAATGTATTCACGGCCATGGGAAGGGTATATGAAGTCGTTTTTGGATAAGTCTTGCCATACATATCCATTCTTGTAGCTCCTGAAATGAATTGTTACATTAGCACGGTTGAATCAACTGTCATTTCCATTGAAGAAACACAGTGAAAAGAACAGGATAGAGTCTTTGTCTATGGTACCTTTTCGAAGACCAGGAATACCTGTTGGCCATGCCTTCACCTCGGAGGCTGTTTAGTCTATTTATAACATCTGTGAAATAGAGCAAATTGCAACAAAAAGTAATTACAAATCAGATAAAGTATACTCAATTTCCAAGAGCAATTTCCATTTGTTACCTTTGAGAAAGAGTCCTTGGGGAGAAGAAAGAGGGACTTCTATGAAATGAGGATGCTCAAGCTGGCCATTGCGTGAGAGGTAGTAAACAACAGAAAGTTTCCGCTCCTTGTTTGATTTGCTTTCAGCCCACACCATGGTTCTCTCAGGACTAGTTTCTCTATCTTGATTTCTCTTTTGCATAGGTAACTCCATCCTTAATCTTGCATAGCTTGCCATGAAGAACATAAAGCTAACTTTTTACCGAGCTCAGATGTGGTTAAAAATGGTGCAGAACTTGCTAATAAACCTAAAACATTTGAACATTCAAGAATTTTGACTTGTATAAAGCCTAAAGATTTTGAAATTCCAGGGCAGGTAAAGGTAGAGGAATAGGTTTCATTGAATGAAAAGGGGACAGCTGAGCGAAAAAGCGGGAGTCTGCATATTTATAAGAGCCTGAAAAATTAGTACAGACAACTACTAGCAAACAGAAAGAAACTGTATATTATACCAGTTTCAAGAATGTTTGATCATTTGCAGCAAATATGAAGAGTTGACATAACTTCGAGGATGCTAAATTTTTGGTTACGGAGAACCTTCGCACTGATAGAGGGCAGGGGGCACACTTCAAAATGATTATAGTTTTCAAATATGCAGATCAAATTCAGCTCTTAAATCACCCTCCAAGGATGTTTTCCTTCCTTCTATAATGCATGAAAACCATATTTTCCCCCTTTATATAAGATCAAGTTGCATTGATTAAAATGAGGAGGTAATCTTTGAAGATCATTGATTGATTAAGATGGGTAATGCAGAGGATAATTTGGATAATTTATTTTATGCCAACTTCCAAAGACTGTTGATCCTGTTTGTAGGACCAAATGCCAGCACGTTCCTTGCAGAATTTGTCAATTACCAGAAGCTCACGGACCAAAGTGAAATCAGGACAAAATTTTCATTTTTCTACATGTAGAAGTCAAAGCCAGTCCCGTGAAACCATGATGCTGAAAACATGGAGACAATTTGACTTAAGTTTGGAACTTGCAAACTGCAAGGGTGGAAGCTCACAGAAAGCTCCAAATAGAAGAGTTACCAGTACTGAGAATCTGAGATTCACCATGGCCAATGGCCACCACCTCCATGCCGTGACTAGCTGTTTTGCCTGTCTGGAATTATTTATGCTTCATCTATTCATTGCCTGCCCTTGTTTCCATTCGGCTTCAACGTAACAGATCAAGATTTTCACTAATCTGAATGTGTATCAGGCAAATTAAGCAGATTAGGTAGTAAATAAAAGCCAGATTATTCCATTATTCTATGTCTGTAAATAGTACTACTTTTTTCATAGTTACTGTGTCTTTCTGTCAGACTATGGAATGCCCTTTGAAAGTTCCAGGTTTCGTACATTCCACAGAAAGAGTTATATCGGGCATCTGATTCACTTTAAAAACCAATTCCACTCCAAAGGAAGTTACAATGAATATTGGCTTTGATCATAGTCGATTATGCCTGCAAACAAGAAGAGTTTTCTGTGGTCTTTATTTCGGTTCATTTTTTTTCATGCATTTAGAATGAAGAGGATTCAAAGCACAAGTAATTCACATGTCTCCCTTGGCCAAAAGAATTCCTCAGGAAAGTCTATGAATCAGCATTCATAACAAAGTAGAGAAAGACATAAATAACTATCTCTTTTCATTAATCTTTTCATCTTCTAACCAATTGAATAACACTTTAGATTATGCCAGGATAACAGGAATCACATGTAAATGGCTGAAAATTTGGAGATAGGGAAAAAAACCTCCTATTAATGGTCAATTTGTGTTTGTATTGGTTGTATCTGCAGTTTTCTTATTTGGGCAAGCAGAAGAAATATGGCCCTTCTGTCCACACTCATAGCATGTCCTTCGCCTCAACTTACCACTGCTGACAGTTGAACCACCATTATCAGCTTTATTACCCATTGTAGGTGCTTCATTACCTGTAGGTGCTTCATTACTTGCAGGTGCTTCTTCAATTGCTGGTGCTTCTTTAACTGCAGGCGCTTCATTACTTTTAGGGACTTCAGTTCTGGTAGGACGAGATCTTGATTGACCTTTTTCTCCATTCTTAGGAATTGCACAACTTATCTTGACAGGTCTACCGCACACAATTTCTTGGTCTAACTTTAATGCCATGGCCACTGAGACACTATCGGAGAAATCCACATGGGCATAGCCTCGGAATTCTCCTGTTTCCTTGTCCATGCCAAAGCGTATAGATGATACATCACAATCTGAGAAAAGCTTCTTTAGATCATCCTCGGTTATATCCCATGACAAATTTCCAACATATATTCTGTTGTAGCCCTCCACCATTTTTGGGGAAAAACCAGCTACTTTATTATTGGCTCGAATGGATTTGTAGGGCTGAATTGTTAGCTGCATTCCACCCCTGAGGAACACATCAGAAGTTTTATAAGGATGATTTACCAATGAAAAATAATGAGAAATATGGCTGAAGATCATAACATTTACTCACATTTCAGCTCTGTCAAGAGCCAAGGCTTCTTTCACTGCAGCTTCTGTCTGTAGGAAGTCAACACGATAAAAATGTCAACAAACTCAATTTAATACTTATGCTTAGTATCAGTACTCAGGCAGCTACAATAAGATTTCAGTAGTTTCAAATATTTATCAGTTCTTTTTTTGGTTCTTTAATATGAAATTCCATTTTCACAAGAAATGAAAAGAGCCAACCTTCTCATGCAAGACAGTGTTAAATGCTTCAGGCTCAGCTCCTTTGGTATTTCAAAAGTAATAGCATGTCATAATAATACCCATAAGCCGATAAGACATCTAGAATTTGATCTAGCCCCAATCAAATATAGCATTCATAAGTGTATACATACAAACAAGTATCAGAGATAGTTACCTCGAAATTAATAATTGCAATTCCTCTAAACTTCCCAGTGTCTGGAAACTTCATACAATCAACATCAAGTATGGTACCACAACCTTCAAAATAATATCGAATATCATCCTTGGTATAGCGATATGGAATGCCTCCAACATATACTTTTGGGGCAGCATCCTCCCTCACCTGGCTGCATAAACATAAGAAACAATAAAAGCCCAATTTATAAGCAGAAGGAGAAAGAAGAAAACACAAACACTCATCTCACAACCAAATCACACAAAAGCGAACCAAATAAAAGTTCTTTTCCAAGTTTGAATCTCATACCTGATAAAAAGACAACAATCATCAACAAAGTTAAAAGATGAACCTGTTCTCTCTTACAGAACATTTTGGGTGCTGTAAACAGAGTCTAAAAGCAACATTCAGGATCAATCCCACCCCCCCTCCCCCTTATCAGCTTACTAATTTACGACAAAGATGCCAATATCTTTACAACTGCAAATGAAAACAAATGATAACAAAAATACAACACCGGTAACCTGCTGACACAGTTAACTTAGCATCTAAAATGACACTAAATTTGCATAAATAAGCAAACTTTAGCTTAAGAAAACCTATAATACCCCTTTTTTTTATTCAAAATGCAAACTGATACATCAATAACCAAACTTTTTATTGGTATGAAAAATTATAATAAAAAATTGAAAAAAAAAAACAAATGAACCAAATGGGCATTTTCAAAATTACCTTTCAGTCCCATTCTCAACCTGCAAAATCCATTGCTCTTCACTTACATTCTTCCCCTTCTTATTCTTATTGTTCTTCTTCTTTTTCTTTGTCTTCTTATTCTTTCCCTTCTCCTCCTTCACGTCCTCCTCTCTCTTCCTCTTCTTTCTTTTCTTCTTTGCTTCTTCTTCTACTTCTTCAACATCCTCTCCCTTTTCCTCAGTTTCCTTGTTCGACCCTTTCGAAAAAGAAAGGGTTTGTCTTCTTTTTTCTCGCTTCGACAATCTGGGTTTCCGAGTTACAGAGTCTAGGAGTGATTTCACGGACTGGGCCTCCGAATTTGAATCTGGGTTTTTGATATCAGGGTCGGGTTCGGCTCCTTTGTTTGCCAACAGTTCTGCTCTAAGCTTCTGCTTAAGCTTCTTGTTTGATAATACCATTTTTTCACTTTCCCTCCTCACAGTCACAGATGGCTAAAACCCTAGACAGGGTTTTTGTTATATGAAGCAAAGGGGAAAACCAGTTACACGGCGTCGTTTTAGCTCTAATTTTTATTCCTTAGTATCTATTATTTTTTTTTTAAGATTTTTTCTTTTCAAAGAACACTTAATTGAATAAAAGAAAAATTCTAGAATTTTAGCTGAAATAGTAACTTCACCATATATTATTGAAGAGGAATAATAATAAATAATTGTATCCTCCAATTCCATATGTATAAAAAAGTGGAATGATTTGATAATGTAGGAACTATAAGTTTACAAAGCTTTTATTCACTCATTCATTCATCTGCTTTAGAAAGTAGCAATACAGGCTCTTCTGTACACAGAAGAACTTGATCTCTAGGCCTAGCAGGTTGTACCTGGTATTCCTGCAGCTTCCTGGCTGCAATTTAAAAGTAATAATACAGGCTCTGGATAGGTTTTTGTCAAACTACAGTTAAAGTTGCGGAATATCTAAATAGACAGGCAACCATGATAGGTACTTCCCTGAAACGTAACAACTGGTTTCCATTGAACCTACCACTAGGAAACTTCATCGAATCAAACTTATACCAAGTCAAATTGCTTGCATTTGACGTTAGTGCGTACAGTTGAAGCACTTTGAAAGGGTAAATTATCTTGGCATCCCTGAAGATTGCTACTAGTTAAAATTGGCTACAGGGTATGCTTTTCTTCCTTTTTGGTGAATTGAGAGTTACTGCCGGCATCAACAATTCTGTCCAAAACATTACCAACTGTTACCAATTTGGACACACTATTGAAATTGATTAAAAAATTTGGAAAAAAAAAAGTTTTGTGTCATAATTAAGAGTAGTTGGAAGGATATGGAATTCCATTGTCTTTAAGCCAGAATTTTAAGGGGGCGTTTTTTTCTGTGCAAGTTCTGTAGACTTTTTACATAGAAAGCTGAAAGTCAATACCCCAAATGACTATGGTTTCATATTATTCTTTGATCAAACCATAACATGGAGGTAAAACCAGAATCAAACATCCAATTCTGCTTGACATGCTGCTAAGCTATGCCTCCATCAGGCCAAACTGGTTTTATAAAAATATTCACCAATCAACTCAATCTAATTCAATCTCTTCAGAAAGTTAAAGCAAAGATCAAGCACAAGATGACCAGAGACAAAAAGGAAACTGATCAAGATGATAAAGAGTAAGAACCCGTTATTCTTGTTCCTGTTTGACTTTTTAGTCTTGTTGAAAGTGCTCAGAAATTGAGATCAGTGTTTCTTTTTTGGAGACAGGAGGTTGGATTTTGAGCATAACGAGGTTGATGTGATCAGCTCTTTACCTAATGAAATCCTTTGCAGAATCATTTCCTTTCTCCCTTTTAAGTCTGCCGTCCAAACTAGTTTACTTTCCATCCGATGGAAAAACTTATGGAAGATGGCTTTATTGAAAGATGGGACTAAAGAGGAAGCTGTCACTGCTGTTTTCAACTTTCTCAATGATTTTCCTCAACTTCATCAACCAAGAAACAACTGGGGGTTGCAATATAACTTTGATCAAGGTAGTGTCCTCTTTGTTGCCATTGCACCTGCTGGTATACTTCATCTAGATTTCTCCGCAGGGAAACAAGAATCTCAAAGGCAATTTAGCTTGTCCTTGGGGCAAAACCAGCGAATTTACTACTACTACCAGCCATCTCTTTCCACTGCATTCAACTTGAAAGCTCTTTATCTTGTATCAGTTAGTCATGTTTCTTCAGAGATGGTTTCTTGTCTGTCGTCCAATATCCCATCTCTTGAAAGTCTGACAATAGCAAAATGCAATGGATTACAATCTATACAACTTGGGAGTAATTCAGAGCTTCAAAAATTAACTGTCTTAGATTGCTTGCAATTGGAGTCTATCAGGATGCATTTCAATTTACAGTTTAGGTTAAAGTCCTTCCGATGTCGAGGAAGAGTTGTGTGTTTTAAATATTATGATGAAGATCCACTCTACTACCGGTATCCTCGTGCCAATGATCATTCACATTTGGAGCTGAAAGACGCCATGCTTGATTTTAGACAAGGCCCTGGCTACTATGGCATCAATATACCTGGCTTTGAATCCATCACTCACAGCATAAGATGGGTCAAGACTCTGACATTACGTAGATGGGTTTTCGAGGTATGTTCTAGTAGTATAACTTCTTTCCAGAAATCCTGTAATCCTTTCCAGAACCTTGATCAAAATTTTTGCACAAAGGTTTAACTAGTCCTCTGTTCTTATTCAGGAATTGATCTTACCAGAGCTAAACCTTTTAGGTGAAGGCTTCTGCAAGCTAACAGAATTGTGGTGGATTGATAATTCACCAGAGAGATATAATAGTAATGCCTTAATCTCCTTTCTCAAACTCTGTCCTCGGTTAACCAGGCTCTATATCACTGTAAGTTTCTGTATTTTCATGATACAATTAGCAGTTGAATATTAAGAAAGAATATCAGTTATATATGTTAGTAAAGTTTATTTCTGAACTTCTAGATAATGTCGTAAAGTGAAAATTTCTTAACTTTTCACATATTGGCCATGGAATTCCAGGCCTAATAGGGTAATTATGGCGCCTTATGAACTATTAAAATGCTTATCTTTCAAGTTTTAACAATTAGGCATAAGAAAGATCAGAATTCAATCATAAGATAAAATAATCTCAAGAACCCAAACTTGAATGGCTGCACTATACAAAATTGTGATGTGATGATAGAACTCATGGCAGATATGTGGTATTAGTTTATGATCATATTCCCTGAAAATCTTCATGACTTGCTGATTAATGATGTAGATCGATCCTAACAGCTACAACATGGCAAACATAAAGATGTCTTCGATCAAGGTCACGAGGCCTATGAAATTGAAGCATCTCAAGGCTGTCAAGTTAGAAGGATTTGCCAATGAGGAAGAGGAGTTTGATCTGGCAAAGCAGTTGAAAGAGGTATTGCAAGCAGAACCACTGATTATAAAGTGGGATGGAACTGTGAGAAGTCTAACAAAAGTACAAAACCAGCTAAAGAAAGGGACAGATCCATATGAATATATTGAGCAAAGAGTTGAAAATCTTAATGAATTATGTCCTAAACATCCTCACATGGACCACTAAAGGGAAGAAGTTTTCACTTGTTATACCTGTAAATCATTCACCAAAACAGAAGAAGGAAACCATAATCTCAATTTTGTATCTTTGAGGATTGAAAGGATTTTTGTTATTGTACCTTTGGTTCTTGGATGGGAAGTGCATGCATTGTATTGAAAGGATTTGACGTTTGAGATTTTTGCTAACATTCCTTATACGTTATACCAAGTCATTGCTTGCATTAGAAGTTAGCTGGATATTGTTGAAACACTTTAAAAGGGTAAATTATATTGGCATCCCTGAAGTTTGCTACTGATTAAAATTGGCAACCGTATTTTTGGAAAATTACAATCCAATATCTTTAAATTTTCCTTCCTTTGTGGTGAATTTAGTATTACTGCCAAATGCTACCAATTAGGACATACTACTGAAATTGATTGAAAAATTTTGGGTGGTTTTAATTTGAAAAGTAGAAAAAGATTGTTCTGATGTATAATTAAGAGTGAGCTTGATTGGTACGGAATTCATTTCTGTCTTTGAGCCAGAGTTCAAAGGGGAGTTTTTTCTGTGCAAATTCTTAGACTTCTACATAGAAAGCTGGCAGTCAATGCCCTGAATGGTTTGTTAACAAGATTTACTAAACAACTCAAACTAATCCAGGCTCTTCAGAAAGTTAAAGCAAAAGATCAAACACAAGAAGACCAGAGACAAGTAAGAACTGATTATTCTTGTTTCAGTTTGAGTATTTAGTCTTGATACAAATTTACCATAATGAAACTGTGCTCAGAAATTGAGATTAGTCTTTCTTCTTCTTGTTTTTGGAGACAGGATGTTGGATTTTGAACGTGACAAGGTTGATGTTATCAGCTCTTTACCTGATCACATCCTTTGCAGGATCATTTCCTTTCTTCCTTTTGAGTCTGTTGTCCAAACTAGTGTCCTTTCGACCTGATGGAAAAACTTATGGAAAATGGCTTTAGTGAAAGATGGGACTAAAAAGGAAGCTGTCACTGCTGTTTTGAACTTTCTCAATGATTTTCCTCAACTTCCTGAACCAAGAAACAAATGGGGGATGCAATATAACTTTGATCAAGGTAGTGTCCTCCTTGTTGCCATTGCACCTACAGGTATGCTTCATCTAGATTTCTCTGCAGGGAAACAAGAATCTCAAAGGCAATTTAGCTTGTCCTTGGGGCGAAACCAGCGAATTTACTACTACCACCAGCCATCTCTTTCCACTGCATTC